AAATAATATTCAGTATATCTAACTCTTTTTTTCGTATTCCCGCAGGCAAAGTATCAACGCTTACATTATACAAATGTAATGCAATATACAGACTGTTTAGCTTATGGTGATCAGCAGCCCTGTGAGCTCATTCTCTCAGTGTATCATCAGGAATACAGAGACACACACACATCATTTAAATAAGAGTTTTTAAATTAAATGATTGGTTAAGAATAAACATCTTAAAGTAAATAACAATAAACAATAGCCCTTAACCCTGTAAGGCCCCCGGTTGTAATTTTACAACAAAATACTTTAAGCTATCCTAAAAAAGTCAGTAAATGTTTTGTTTTTTTAAAAGACTACATTTACATAGTCAAAAGGTCCTTTTGTTCAGCCTCACAATGCTATTGGGTAGTGAATGTGTTATAGGTCCTGCCCTCTGGAACATACACAGCAGGGATTTTGGGCCCCATGGAAATATATCACCCCACCACCAGGCCCAGGCCACGCCAACCAAGCAATTGCTGTAACCTAACCACACCTCCAGAACCCAACCGACTCATTTATGCTTTAAATAACTCTACATGTACAGGCTTGCATCTATCTTGTAGTCCAGGGGTGGCCAACCAGTCAGAGGTTACGAGCCACATTTTTTCTATGTTACTGCAAAGAGCCACATCAAACACACAGGCACTGATACCGCTTGTTTACGTTTTTTTGTTTTCTGGAGACAAGATTTCAACCACGTCACTGATGCATTTTTGTGGCATTGGGATATATATTTTTTAAATCCTCTGGAGCAGAGAGAGGAGCTGTGGATTATTGTTATTGATTAATGCATCAGTGTTTCTTAGGGTCAAAAACACTAAATTCACAACTTAAAATGAAAGCGTTTAGTTTATTTAATAAAAGAGCACATGTTCAACGTGAAAAGTGACAGTAGTTATAGATTATTTGCAATTTGGTGCTATATATATTTTAAAAAAAAATTATATATATTTTTTAAACACCTTGAATTTCAGGGGGGGGCGGGGCTCCGTTGGCGGGGCGCAGCGCCCCTCCAAGACAATGGTAGGGGAAACACTGGATAGTGTTTAATCAACGATAGGTTTCCCCCCCTCAAAGGTGATTGGTTCACTGCATCGCAGGTATTATTGTGATTGGCTCTTGGGCCACATCAAAATTAGACTTGCTGTCATCCTCTCATACTGACACCTGACACCACACATACACACGTAGGGAGAGCCGGGACGAAAGTAACGGAGCGATTTTATCCGAGCCCAAACAACTTTGACCGGCCAAATTACGTTAATACTTAACAGACCTACTAAATATCAGGTTTAACTGTCAGGAGTAGCTAGTGTTGTCACGATACCAACATTTTGGTTTCGATACCAAGTCAAGAATTGCGATTCCGATTATTTTTCGATACTTTTCTTAAAAAACAGTCTTAAATGTAATTATTGTGCTTTATTTCACACCAGAACCATAACCATAACACAAACTTTTAAACAATGAGAACAATAAGTTAAATAAATGACAAGATTTCCTATTAAATACAATTAATACATTTCTTACAGACAGGCCTCGTGGTGTCCGTAGGCTTGCCCTCACTGTCAGAGATATAGCTCAAATACTTCCAAATTTCGCTTCTGGCGTCTTTTTTGTCAACAAGCCGAGGCGCAGCGGCAGCTGCACTCCCACTTGCAGCCATGCTTCTCGCTTTCTCACATGCTCTGGCAGCTAGCGCGTGCACGAGAGAGGGGAGGGATTTAGAGCGTGCTTGAGAGGGGAGGGTGCAGGCACGGCTGCAGTGCAGGGAGTGGAAGCAGAGCGCTGAACACACACGGCTCTTATTAAAACAGCGCTTTCTCACCGGAGTACTTTCCCCCGTCATTCTTAAAGTACCGATACTAATGAAACGGAGGAATCGTAACGTTTTTAACGACAGGGTATCGCGGTATACCTTTCAAGTATCGGTACACCGTGCAACACTAGTCAGGAGTCAGTGTCTCTCCCCCAAACTCACACATATACAATTCGATATGAACTGAAGAGCCGCATGAAACTAGGCAAAGAGCCGCATGCGGCTCGAGAGCCGCGGGTTGGCCACCCCTGTTGTAGTCCAATACTAACTGCACAATATTTACTGACACTGAGCTGTGAAAATATAACACTTATGGGGGGACAGGTCTGCGGAGCCTAGAGATGGATCTGTTGGTCCTGGCACCAGGGGGAGGGACAACTGATTTAGTATGAATAGCTGCTAAAAATTTACCTGCATTTATTAAATGTCAGCTAAAAGAGGAGTGAAATTAAAAACCTGTATAGATATTAACAGTACTTAATGTCAGCTTACTAAAAAAAACATAACAATTATTATTATTTACAATGGACTACGCGTAGCTAACAGACATATTTCCACCACTCATAGACCACACCCACCTTTTCTTTGAAAAACTGGGTGACATACTGTCGCCCTTTAGTCCCTCTCTCTTTCTCTCCTTTATTTTCTCGTTTGAAAGCCTGACTTTGTTAGTCGTTGAGACATGGTACACACGTAAGCACTAGCATCCCTGCTCCTAACATGCTCTCACTCTCTGCTGGAAAGTGCCGGCGGTGCTGCACCGCGTTTGGAGGCAGGACCAAACCATTACATGTAAATAGAAGGGGGTGTATAGAGGCTTTGGATAATTAACTTTTGGAAGAAAATAAGTTAAATGAATTGTAAGTTTAGTACATTATCAATATAACGTCCTATTAATGTAAATTATTGATGAATGATGAAAGGTTACTAAACATTTTTTTCTTAATGTTCTAAAATAGTTTGGGGCCCCGTGGTGAGGGTGTTTGGGGTGGCCAGGATTCAGCTGGGGGTGGCCGTGGCCACTCCCAGCCACCCCCCAGCTCCGCCACTGCAGATGAGCCCAAATGAATTGGGCCAGGTCAGGCTAAGGCTAACATTTCAGGCTGTCGCAGAAATCTTCTGTCAGTCTCTCTTCAGCTTTTCCCTACCTCTGTTCAAATGTGCTCTACTGATATGTAGAAGGACGCTGTGGTGGCTCAGTGGGTAGCGTGCTGGACTTCGAATCAGGGGATAGCAAGTTCGAGTCCCACTCAGCATGTCGTTGTGTCCCTGGGTAAGACACTTCACCCCAAATTGCTCCTGTGGGGATTGTCCACAGTACTGAATGTATGTAAGTCGCTTTGGATAAAAGCGCCTAACAAATGACATGTAATGTAATGTGTGTTTCCAAGCCGGTAAATGTGTTATTGGGAACATAGATAAACATATGGACATTCAGTAAGAATTCATTGTATTTCAGCTGGTTCCTCTTTGACTCAATGTCTCTCCATAACAACAGTTTTGGAACAACAACTGATGCCTGCTCTACCCATATGACCTCATGGTTACCGGGGCGATGGGGATTCCTGGTGCAGAGAGCGATGTGATTGGCTGAGCCCGGAAAAGAGCTCTTAAATGGGTCAAAGCAGTCAAGTGTCTCTATGCAGGAGGTGTGTGTGTGTGTGTGTGTGTGTGTGTGTGTGTGTGTTTGTGTGTGTGTGTGTGTGTGTGTGTGTGTGTGTGTGTGTGTGTGTGTGTCTAAGTGTGCAATGCTGCATCGAGACAGAGAGAGAACAGATGTCATCTTCCAATTGTACATACAGTGCTGATCAGTAAAGCTTGTGTAATTATAAAGCCATCGTCTTCCCTGCACCCACCCACTCTTACCATCCTCCCTTCCTTCGCTTTTTTCATGTATTTTCTTGTTTTTCTGCATGTGCACTCTCTTTCTCTCCCTCCTGATATTTAGATGTAGCCCATCTGTCTGCACTGGGACCGTGGAGGCCAACACTGACCCCAAATGGCTGCATTATGAAATGCTTTGCTGGGCTTTGAAATGTAGAAAGCACATCAGAAAGATGATGCAACATGCTTCCATATTATGGCTAGCGTGAAAGAATTGGCCTGGATAGTTAATTTCATCTCCAATGGGGAGCTTCCTGCACAGCTAATTAATGTTTTTAATGTGTTCAGGATGGCAGGCTACAATGCTTCCTGTGAAATCATGCGAGCATCTTAAACCAAAGTTTGGGGATTGTACTGCTGCTGACCTGCCTTCCACAATATCAATTAAAACTGGATTATTTTAATAAATGTCTTTGAGTATTTTCAGCTGAGATAAGAATAACACATTTGTTATGAAATAAAATGCAAAACGATACAAAGACAACACAATGTTGTAATAATAATAAAGTATTGCTATTGATTCAAATCCTTTTGACTAACTGACATACTTTAAGAAGTCACGTAATACTTTGGGTGTTTTCAGCTGAGACAAGAATACAAAAATGAAGGAAAAACTCATCTATTTTCATTGTGTTTATAAAATTTGATTTAAAAAAATAATATATATATATATATATATATATAGTACATCAAACTGCATGAATTTTGAATGTATCTTAAATATGTTTTAAATAAGTGTAGCAGACAGGTGGGTTTATGTGTCGGACGACTTCTCTGTCAGTAAAGCAGCAGTGGGGCTCGGGTCAGAGCTGCAGTGTTAAAAGGGTAAGGGTGTGTGAGGGGCATAGGTACCGCAATGCAGGCCACCACTCTGGCACGTCTAAATAAGGCGTCAAGAGTGTGTGTGTGTGTGTGTGTGGTGTGTGTGTGTGTGTGTGTGTGTGTGTGTGTGTGTGTGTGTGTGTGTGTGTGTGTGTGTGTGTGTGTGTGTGTGTGTGTGTGTGTGTGTGTGTGTGTGTGTGTGTGTGTGTGTGTGTGTGCTTGGCCTCCAACACAGTCGAGCTGAGACACCCTATCCTTACAGAGAGGACGAGAGTAAGGAAGGAGCCTCACTGCGGCACTTACTGTAACTACACACATAAACATGCCATACAAAGTGTAAAAATGTGTCCAGCAATCCATTACTGCCCTATCCTGAATTCACCAACACTTCCACCAACATTTTATGTCTCCCGTGTGAGTGGGATGGTAAATAAGTGGGCTTTACTTGAAGTTGCCGGGGTGCTGGCTGAGGGCCAGGTTCAGGGTGTCCAGGGCATGACGCTGGTGTTTCTGGGCGCTCAGTAGCAGCGTCAGCAGGTGGAGGGAGTGTAAGTCGTCCCCACGGAGAGATAAAGCTGCCTGCAGGGGCTCGATGGCTGCTGAAACCTGCCAGACACACACACACACATTCTTAGGTATACTGTAATGTTTCTTAATGATTAATGTCCGTTATTAAAAGGGTAATAACTGTGTTTGCTTATACCTGCCGCACAAGTGCCAGCTGCAGAGACAGGTACATCGCTATCAGAGCGTCCTCAGGGTCTAATGAATGAGCCCTGTGGAGCAGAGAGAGAACACAACGTTTTTATGACAGGGAAGCACATTTCTTAAACAGCCTCTACTGCATGGTGCTTTCATATGGCAACACTTACTTGGAGAAAATGTAGAATGTAAGGTCAATTCAATTGAAAAAAGTGTAAATAAAGACTAAATGAAATCAATAAACATAAATGATTGAAAGAAATTAAATATAATTTAAATAAATACAAGATATTACATATAAATATAGATGAAAATAGATGAACATTTTGATTTTATTGGACTTTTCTCAACTGCGCTTTGTTTACAATGTACAATGTGTTTGTTAGAATTGTTTATATTATAACAAATGACTCCCCTTTAAAATAGATATGTTTTTTTAATTTCTATTGTTCAAGCAATTATTAAGTAATACAAACATATTACTAGAAATGTTAACATGTAAAATTAATGCAATAGTGGAATGTGAAACAAAAACCTGAGTTTCAGTGGGATACAATACCGACTATTGTACGTCTACACTTTGAGGCTTTATTTAGCTACAGTAGTACTTTGAGATAATTGCTAACATCTGCCTACCGAGGCAATGCTAACAAGCTTTTAACATGCTTATGCCATGCCAACATGCCATGTTAACCCCATTGAGCATGGCTAAATATGAAATGCTTTATATGTATGTTTAAAATGAGAAAAACTTGGGACTACTGATAAACAGGAATATACAGTAAAAAGAAGAACCTACTTGCTCAATGCTCGTAGCGCTTTTTTGTTGAACTCATTACGATCAGCTTTTAGAGAGGCTGGAGAGAGAAGAAAGATTCAAATGTTACCCCAAATAGCTTTAGCTTTGCTATAATTAAGCAGTTAAATTGTAACTATATATTATAAAGTAAAATACTGTTCACTTGGCAAGTGAATAGTATGAAATATGGCAAATAAGTTAAACCTAGTTTTTACGAGAGATATGGGAAGATTGATACTATTACGATTGATACTAACATGTATCTCTCTCTCATGTAAGAAAAGACCACCAAACATAAATCAATAGCCTCTATTCAAAGGCATTGGAACTTGTTATCGTCCTGTTTTTAATCTTTATCCAACTCTGCATACAAACTAGAGCCTTTCTACAAAAATATCAAAGTTAACAACTTGGTTATCATGAAACCATAGTGGGTCCAAGGAGTCAGGTGTGTGATATTATGGGGTTAGGGTTAACCTAACACTAACACTATTTCAGCCTAACCCTAACCCTAGCCCCTACTCATTATATTTTGCCACTCGTGTCATTACCATACTATATTAACGCCAGGGAAGGCTTTTGCGTAGTATTTTGATGCAGAAGTTTCATGCATGGTTAAAGTTATAACACGTTGTGATACAGTCATGGTTAGGTTTAGGGTCAAGACACAAACCTACTTGGTAAGGATTAAATACAAATATAAAGGTTTCAGTTATTTGATTCGGTGACATGGCGTCAAGTAGTCACATGAGATAACTTCCTTTGGTTCCATGCAGGACACAAGCACTGGTCTCCTAGAAGTCCTGTTTTTGAAAAATGTGTATATTTGTTGGTTACATTACATTACATTTAGCTGACGCTTTTATCCAAAGCGACTTACAATAAGTGTGTTCGACCAAGAAGATACAAACTTGAAGAAAACAGAATCATATAAGTACATCAGGTTTCATAGAGACAAAACATTTCAAGTGCTACTCAACTGGCTTTAGATAAGCCAGTCCTTTGTTAGTATATAAGTGCGTTGTTAGCAATTATGTGTGTGTGTCCTCACCCTCAGAGGCCTGCAAACTGCAGCACAGTCCCAGGGAAAGGTAGGCTCTAGGTAGAAATTCTCCTGCTTCTTGCCCCATGGACACCACACTCTGCGACAGATCCTCAGCCTCCCCAAACTGGACACATCAACTACACTCAATAAGTTTAATTGTCAATACTCAAATGGGCAGGTGAAACACTGAATTATACTTCCTATGAACAAATAACCTTTCATACGGAACAATTACATCTTGGAGGATCATTTGAGGTATTGTACTGTTAACATTACTTACAACATCCATTCATTTTAGAGGTATAGAATTGAATTTATTTTAGTTTGTGTTAGTTTTCAAAGGGTGTTTTCTAGGTTTAGTTTAGGTTCAGTTTTTTTTTTTAAATGTTGAGTTTTAATTTTACAGTAGTGATTGTTGTTTTTTGTTAGGGTTAGGTATTTGTATATAAGAAATAGGTAGTATGCATACACAATAAGTGGTTGAAGAACTGTAGGAAATGCCATTATGCTTGATATTTTAAAATGTGGATATTGATTTGAGTAAAAGGGCCAAATAACTTGGTTGAATGTCATTGGATCTACTACAATTATTTGATCAGGTTTGTGTTTCTTGATTTGACTGTTTTGGACAAACAGAAGCGATTTTCTGTTTCAGTGTCCCAATTTTTGTTCACACCTTTTTTTAGTTTGAGTACGATAATAATTATGAAAATAACATTGGTGTTATTAAATCTCTTGCATGAGGACAGTCTAAATAGATTCAAGGACAATGCAGAGTTGGCTGAAGGACACACACACACACACACACACACACACACACACACACACACACACACACACACACACACACACACACACACACACACACACACACACACACACACACACACACACACACACACACACACACACACACACACACACACACACACACACACACACACACACACACACACACACACACACACACACACACACACACACACACACACACACAAAGAGGGCATTTATCAGTTTAAGAAGGTGGCATATATATAGTTTGTGGAAAAGAGGTGAGCCGAGGTGCTCTGAGCCGAGGAGAAATTGTGTCACTGTGCGGTACGGCTGGTGGCGGGCAGGTGGGTAGGTGGGCGTAATGGGGGGTGGGGGGTGGGTGGGGTAATGCCTTTGACGGCATGCCAGCAGAACAGCAAGCCAACTGCTCTGACACCCTCCCCCCTCCTGCCCCTCCTCCTCCCCCTCCTCTTCCTCCCTCCTCTGCTCTATCTCACTGTGTATCTTTCTCTGAATCCAGCCCTTGCGAGTTCAAATCATGCACACAATAGTATTTAAACACACATCCATGCACATCTTAGGAGGATTATGATTCTCTCCTTTGAATAGTTAGGGGTGAAAACCTTGCATCTGCAGTACTGCTTTTCAGGAATTTATATATTTTTTAAAATCTGCTTTGCTTCCAGTGGTGCAGTTTGTACTGATGTTACGAGGTTAGGCAAGATTGTTAGGGTCTGTAGTGGGGGAACAAACTGCTGGCTAGATAATAGTCCAGAATGTCCAGTGGAGCTGATGGTGGATAATGGTGGTCCATTTATGTAATGCCCCACTGCACTATGGCCACAGTGTCCCATTGTGATTACGGCTGTAAGCTCCTTAGTGTCTCCGGCCTGCCATGATCTCCAGCCACTGACAGATGTGCTCTCTCCGTTCGCCCCTGATAGCTCCTCTTTTCTAATCTCTGACCCCTTTCTCTCTGTCTCACTCACCCTGACACTCCCCCCCCCATACTAAATACCTCTGTTGATGCGACTTTCTCCCTCCCTCCCTCCTGCCCAGATCATGAACAGCAGGACTATCCAAGCTGGCCGGGCTTCACAGTGATGCAGAGTGACCCCTGTGTCAATCCCAAAACATTACCCAGCGCTGCTGTGTTATGGCTCTCTATGCACACACTACATTTTAATAAAGCTGCTGTTGAGAGCTGTATATGCTCCCAGAGTCCTATGTTCCCCAGCTCAATATCCTCTTGTTTTATCACACATTACATTACAGAGAGATTTCAAAGGTTTTTTATGTTCTCTGCGATGTTACAAAGGTTAGAATCACCCACCTACAGCTTGGAGCCTACTGAGTCCTTTAAACCTACACGCCCAAATGTGCAAGCAGAGTGTGTTCTTGTTCTTTAGACGTTGATATCTCTACACTGGCAGATTTGAACCATTCAAACTGCATTTAAAATGCATATCTTCCTTTGTTCGTTTGAATTGGATTTGAAAGACACACCTCAGCAATCTTTTACAGTAAGGATGCTGGAAACATGCTGCTCATGTAGTGTAGGATTCTATGACCTCTTCTTTTAGTTGATCTTCTCATGGTTGACGCTATAGCGAAGGTAGGCAGGTGTAACTAAATGAAGATGAATTATAAATTACAAAACTGATTGTTCGATCTCAACTGCTTGTTGTTGATATCTCATAAATTCCTGATAAAGATTGATCCTGTAATCCTGTGAAATTTGAACCTTTAAATAATATATTATCTTGCCTTTTGACAAGTCAGTAAATATTTTCTTGATGAGTTAATGATCTCAACTGCTAGTGTCAATCTTCAATAGAGCATGATGTTCAGGATGATGTCCCATTTAAAATAGGCTATAACGCAGGGTATACCAAAGACATTGCTACTTTGTGTTGTCTGGTTAGGTCTACAACTAAAGATACTTTTCACAAATAAAGTATCTTTATTTATGTATTAAGTTCCAAGGTGATAAGTTGAAACGTTTTGCATGCCTAAAACCAAAAATAATTAGTCTATCCTTAAATTACTTTAAGGGTCAATCGATTATCGAAGTAGTTGGCGATTATTGTTCAGTTGATCACTTAGTTGACTGATTGTTGCAGCACCAGGGTTAGGGTTAGGCTCACAGACCAAACTGCATGTAAATGTATTGTGAGTGCATGTACATTAAAGTGTAATGAATGTTTTGTGAGTATTCACCCATTGCAGTTGACCAATGCAGACTTTAGCAGCCAATAGCGGCAACGAGGGGTCCTCTGGTCTCATCCTGGCACACTCTTTAAATACAGACACAGCACCGACCCCCTGGAAGGAACACACACACACACGTCACTGACAAATTGTGATTAATGTGCACACAGACGCCAGTTATCATGCAGCCACAGATGGATCTCTTTTAAGTGAGTGTATCAAACACATTTCAACTGTCCTTACACAGCCCTAATAGACCCATTTAGACACACAGTCACTTAATACATGTAGGTCAATCATTAATGGACCACGTGCACATGCACACACACAGACACAAGCCCGGCTGGCCCTAAATAGAAGCGGATCTGACGACACTGAGGCAGCCCCTTCTCCTTCTAGGGAGCAGCCTATTTCCAGAGCTCTCCATTGATCTGCAGTGTCACTTTATACTGCAAGGCAGATCAATTTTTCTGTCACACACATGGGCGCGCACACACTGAGGCAGAAGGGGGGCGGGGGTGGGTAAGATATTCCTTTTGAGGACTCCCATACAAGAGGCTTTTTTGTTTGCATTCTGTGCTACATGGTTAAGAGTTATTGCGTATCTTTTGCTATAATTTACTTGCCAATATATTAATCAAATAAAACTCAACCCATCTTCTTCTCGAGCAGACTGCACGCTTATCTGCGAAAAACCATTTGTTGCACCATGCCTGGACATGAGTGTGAGGTGCAGTGTACAGCTCAGAGGTATGGCAGGGGATGTATGTCACATTTAGGGTGTGTCGTCGTGTGTGTAAGGGCTGTTGCTGGTATATAAGGAGACATGAGCTCACCTTCCTGGCTGCCATGAGTGACAGGCCCAGCTGGTGCCAGAGGTGGAACTCGTTGAATGAAAACTTCATGGCTCGCTCCAGACACTACGAGGAAAAATGCAGACGCGCAAATATGTCAAAGTCATATCATTCATACAGATACATGGGTGCAGTCATGTTCAGGTTAACCCAGTCTGAGACAAAAAAAAATGAAATGCATTACAAAATAAATGCTTATACTGTTGGAAAGCCAGGGTTAGGATCATTACATTTATTAACTAATTTCCCATCATTTACAAAGTCACTAAACTGAATGGGCACTCTTCTTCTACATTTTTCTAGCTTGACATGACTGTCAGTCACCACTCACCACCCACTCAGCGCTGCTTCAGTACATAATGAGGTGATTGATGTGTGTGTGGACGAGCAGTGGATGGCGTGGTGAAACTTTAGCACAAATTAGCTAAACCACGCCAAAGGTCTGCCTAATATTTTAAATAAATAATGTGCACTTAGTAGAAAGGCTGCGGACCATTTAACATGTACACATTAGCTCAACATTGTATCGCTTTGGGTATTTCTTATATGATACAATGAATGAACCAAAATGAGTATTAAGGAATTAAGTTAAGTCTGCTAAAATGAATGCAACTGTCACTGCATACGTCATGCTAACCCTTGTTAACCCTGCTAAATCAGGCGCCCCTCGTAACAAATTCCAATTCAACCCCTGGTTAAGGGGTTAATATGCAGAGTTGTAACTAGGGTTTAGACAAATGGTGATGCAGGACACAAAACACTGCGGTTAACTTATCACACTGATGTTTAGCAGGTGTAATGTTTATTTATTCAATGTCATCTTAGTCAAGTATGTTAGCATGCTAACATTTGCTAATTGGCACCAAACAGACAGTGAGAGCTGATGGGAGTGTCTGATGAACATTAACAGGATCTCAGAGTTGTAACAATTTGCTGTGTCGGTAGCTAATCTCAAGGGGAGAAGATTTTTGGATGGAAGTGGAACCTATCAGCTATTGTCAAACAACAAAATAGCTAAAAACTAGCTTAAAATTAGCTTGTAAACTGACTACTTGTAACACAAACCAAAACAATTCTCGTGTCCCAAGTTGCTAATTGGACTGTTACCAGTAACCAGTACATGGAAGAGGAAGTCTTGGCCTGGATATCAGCTAGCTACACCAGAATCCCCAATTACATCTCCTTGCCCCAAGAGTGTTGTCAACATCTGAGAGCCAATGGGTTATGAGTAGGGTTGGGTATCGTTTGAATTTCCACGATTCTGATTCCGATTCCGATTCTACTTTTCGATTCCGATTCTTTGAGGGGCAGGGTAAACAAATTATACATGCTTCTTCCACCTAAGGCACACCTGTGCAATAATCATGCTGTCTAATCAGCATCTTGATATGCCACACCTATGAGGTGGGATGGATTATCTCGGCAAAGGAGAAGTGCTCACTATCACAGATTTTTTCAGATTTGTGAACTATATTTGAGAGAAATGGTTATTTTGTGTATATAGAAAATGTTTTAGATCTTTGAGTTCATCTCATGAAAGATGTGAGCAAAAACAAAAGTGTTGCATTTATATTTTTGTTCAGTGTAATAACAACAGCGCCGGTACCGGTGCACCCTCCCTCGCTCGCTCCCACGCTCGCACTTTGGCTGTGAGCTGCGGGCGCCAGATCAGCCAACATCCCCCATTTTCATCATACAAGGCAAATGAAAAGTGTAACCGGGGTGAAAAGGGTGTTACATTTACTTAATTATGAATGTTGTTACATCAAGGCCGAAAATTAGGATGAGCACCAACGGTCAAAACATTTGTTTTCCCTCTCAGAGCTGTCAGAGCAGCGCCTCCACAGATCTGGCGCCCTAGGCGAACATGGTTACGCTGTAGGAAGTGTAGGTACAACCATAGACTGTATATATAAATGGACGTAGGGTCCGTGACGTCACCCATAGGATTCTGCAGAGTTGCAGAGAAGCCCTTAGTAGGCGGAGTCGGCCACTAACGGCTCGACAGTGACGTCAGAGTTCAACTCCCGCCTGCTCCAAATAAGGGCAAAGAGGCGTAGCCGAGGCGGGACCTCCTGCCACCGAGCTGGAAGCTCCAGAGCTAGCTGAAGCTACCAAGCTAAGCTAACATGCTCCCCATCTGCACACTGCCGTCGTATTTTACGTTTCTATGGTAAGCGGACATGAAACTATTCAGCAAAACTATAAATAATAATCTAAGTTATTGAGTTTTTAGCATAATACTTCAGAATCTTAAAATCCCTTAACGTTTGTATGCAATTGTGCTAAATTCAACACTGGAATTAAGCAAATATTAATATGTTTGCATGACATTAGTTATTTATATTTTGATCACTTAATTACACGTTTAATACATTTAAGTCAAGCTAAGGTACATGTGATGGTAGCTAGTTAGTGCTCTTACCTGTGAGGCCTCCTCCAAACAGCATAATAACCAGACTGTATCATTAAAACTAAGTACCAGTTCTAGATCTTTGATTTTAGACAAACAATTCAAAAGACAAAATGTATTTAAAGACCAATCTTTATTTGAATGTGCCTCTTAACCTGAGATATTAGTTATACAGTAATAGTATCGACAATCTAAAAAAACTGAGCAACTCAACAGTCAACTTTATATTTCTTATTGTCTAAAGCATTTATTATTTTCATTTTTCCCCTCTCATATTCAATGTGGACGGATTGAGACAGCGTGGTGTCCAGAGAGCTGCAGAGACTTCAGGGAGAAACCTCCGTGTGATGGACATCCTGTCTGTTGGTTTGGAGAGGACTGAGGGTCTTCCCTCAGCGAGGAGGACCAGGCCTGATGGAGGAGCCCATGCTGGGCACAGCTGATACCAACTGCACAGTCAACAAACAAACAGGATTGTTTACTTTCAGTCAACAAACAAACAGGATCGTTTACTTTCAGTCAACAAATCCTTTGGAAAGACAAAAAACAAAAAAGCAAAATCTAAACTGGGTTGGAATAACGATAGACGCGCCCGGGACGCGTCTATCGTTATTCCAACCCAGTTTAGATTTTGCTTCCGCATTACGCAAGAACGTAGCTCTACGCGATAGCGTCATAGCCTTCTTCTTCGGCTGTTATTATTCGGCTGTTATAGCGGTCGCGGTAAAGCAGGATGAATAGTTGTTTTTTGTCTTTCCAAAGGATTTGTTGACTGAAAGTAAATGATCCTGTTTGTTTGTTGACTGAAAGTAAACTATCCTGTAATCAAAGCCATATCGAAGATTCCTGAGATTGTATTACTGGTGTTTTATCATCTATAAATAGCCTGTGTGTATTCTCAAATGTCGTTTTCAGGACAAACAAAAGACGTTTTAAATATCTTATCTTATCAGCAGAATATTGAATATAACCTTGACTATTACTGTGCACTTAATTTATTTGACAGCATTATTTAATGATACTATTTTATATATATATATTTAATGATACTATTTTATATATACATTTATTCATATACACACACACTTATATGTACTCACACATGTATTTATTCATAAATATACACAGATGTATTCATTCATTTATACACACACAGCATTATTTAATGATACTGTTTTATATATATTAGTGCTGTCAAAATTATCGCGTTAACGGCGGTAATTAATTTTTTGAATTAATTGCGTTAAAATATTTAACGCATTTAACGCATGTGCAGAATGGCCCGCCCCATACATGCCACCAGTGGCAGCGCCAGGGTATGGCTGGGGTAGGCTACACCCATACCAAGAAATGACTTAGCCCCACCATGAAAAATGATGTTAAAGTAAGCAAAATAAAGTCTGCCAACTCGCGCGGAGTAAATTGCACAGACAGCAGTTAGTAAGATTGATTTCAGTAGCCACGGTTTTGAAAACTTTTGTCACGTAGTGATCGTCTTCTCAATAGAACATCTTTGATAACGGCGTGGTGTTGTTGCAGGAAGTCCCGACGGAGAATAATTTTGCTGTAGTACAGGGGTGCACATAACTGGTACGCAGGTTATGTGCGTAATCTGAAATGCTTACCGTCACTTGTGTCAGAAAGCGCATTTGCGTACCGACGTACTTGTGAAGCTTTTCCAGAAGGCGGTTAGATCACCGGACGACAGAGTCGGTCTCCGTGTGCACAGACAGGGCTGCTGTTAACGTCGGTCTGTACAACGGAATTGTGCCAAAACTACGCCAACCGGCTGCGGAGGAAGACTCCCCCCCCCACTGGAGAACTGCGCTAAAACAGCTGATCACAACGTTCACACTCTGTGGTCACGAAGTACTCCACTAGCCGCCGCCCCCCCCTGTCGACTTTCCTGAAGTACTCCCCCGTTGATAGCAATCAACACGTAATGAATTAAGACCCCACGGTTTGATGATTGATAGGTGTGTGTGGGTTGTCTTTCATTTTGACACGCAGAAAAATGTTATAATAAACATAGATAGCCTACTGTATTTTAAATGGATATATCCGCCTTCTTTAATTTATCTTTCCATTCCCACAACAATATACATAAATAAATGGCATATTTTGGACATAGTTCGAATGGTGATTAATCATGATTCATTAATTTTTAAGCTGTGATTAATCTGATTACAATTTGTAATCGTTTGACAGCCCTAATATATATATACACACATTTATTCATTTATAAACATATAAACACACACTTATATGTACTCACACATGTATACGCCAGGTTGCTATAACAGCCGAAGAAGAAGACTATGACGCTATCGCGTAGAGCTACGTTCTTGCGTAATGCGGAAGCAAAATCTAAACTGGGTTGGAATAACGATAGACGCGTCCCGGGCTGCTTCTCAGGTCGATTAAATGAAATCCTTGCTTCCCTCAGTTGCGTCGTTTCCCTGCGTTTAGTCCCTCCTACCAGGGACGCAAGGAAACCACGAGAAGCAGGGAAATGAGTTTTAAGAGCAATGGGACGTCCTTTCCTCCGGAGCGTCACGTGAAGCGACGTCCGTTTGTGATGACGCTGCACAGCTGTTCGTCTGGCAGCAGCCAGCTCTGTACCCGTTATTTCCACAAACACCCCCGCCTCTGTTAGTGCACATTTACTGACATAAACATTAGTATCATCTGTTGTAGATCCAAATACATGAAATAAAATAAGAACTAATTCTCAAAAAAGATAAACGCCATTCTTAAAATGTATAAACGAACAATAGTTAGATTAATATTGATTAGAGTGCACAATAGAAATAAAATAATTGAGAGAAGAAAAAGAGATATGTTATCTATCAAAACCCAGTTAGATTAACATTCATTGGATTGCACACTTTGTGTGTTTGTGTGGATATGTAGCACATTAACATTGTAATAGCACTTAATGACTGACTGAATGGAAATGACAATAAATGAAACTGTAAAACGAAAAAAGCGATAATGAAAATGTTTCCAATAATGATTTTTGACCACTTTTGTTCAGATCACATATTTGTAACTAAATGATACATTAATTGAAACAAAACACGGTATAAACTGAGGAGTGAGTCCCGTGAGGTTCATGTATTTTCTTCACTCCGCTGGGGTATTGCTCTCATGTCAAGAAGCATCAGATCAGTGCATGCACTGCCTCGTCCAATCAGTGAGCGATACACAGTAAGGGGGCGGGGTGAGTATCTGAGGATTTCATCGGAGGATGGTCTGGTGGTTCCTCGGTTATCGCTCCTCCATGATCGCTCCTCGATCCTCGGTCCTCCGGCAGAAATAAGAGCCATGGGACGGTACTCAAGATGGCGCAGGCAAATCAACTTACGTTGAGACCGAGGACCGAGGAGCGAGGAAATGAAAATAGTCGACCTGAGAAGCAGCCCCGGTGTCAGTACCAGGGTTGCGTTCCGATAATCCAAAAATTAGCTCCTAAATTCTAACCCTATCTCCTATTCCTTGACCTCTGAGTGAAACGTCACGGGGTTAAGGGATAGTGGATAGGAGAATTCAAAAGGATTTAGGAGAAGAGACTGTGGTACTAGAAAATCCGAATGCACTTTCACTATCCGACGTGTTTATGATGCGCCAGCGGACGTCATGAATGTGCGTCTGCTGCTGTGGGGAAACTATGGAAACTACAGTTTTCTATACAGCAGACTACAACATGGATGTTCAATAAGAACGAGGGACTACTGTAAACTCATCTAGAGACTCTGCACCGTGCTCTGATGTTGTTGTTTTATGCTTTATGAATGTGGACAACAGAGAAACATATTCTTCATGACCAAAGTTGGAATTGAAATAAAAAATGAAAGTGAAACTTATGCTCGTCACCCTCTCCCTCCGGTCCACATATGATTGTATGAACTATTAAAAGATCTTAAAATAAATACAAATGTATTTATTATAAACGTTAGTCCTTAACATCTATCACTGTGTATATCACCATTCAAACATATTTTAAAAGTTGAACAACCCCACACAGCTCAGTGAAATGTTGACTTTATTTGATCATTTCAGTAAAAACTAACGTTCATATTTCTCTTTTTGATTATAATACTGATGAAAGTTCAAAACAAAGCACTTTGGCAACTTACCACATACGTTTTAAAATGCTTAATAAGCACCGTAACTTTCATGATATAATTTCTCCCATTATCGTTTGTGTCCGTGAACGGCCGACTGTTGAGTGACGGCAAATGCTGCGGCTGCAATGCATTGTGGGGCAGCATTTTCTCCTCTCCTTTCGGCTAGGGAGGTCCAGTGGTTCCTAAGCTAAAGGAGGTTATAAAGGAAGTTTGAAACCTCCTTTCCTTTCATTTGGAGAATTGGAACGGCACTTATCATGGCTGCCACTGAGGGACTTCCGGGTCATTTCACTTGGTTAGGAAGGTTCCTAAGCTAAATGGACTATTGGACTGGGCCCCGGCTCTTCCACAGAGTTTGCCGATTGGGTACAACGTAGTGATGGGTCGTTGGCGAACGATTCGTTCTTTTGGAACGAATCTTTGAAGTGAACGAGATGAACTGATTCCTCCCACAAAACAATTCGTTTGTTTGAGTCTTAAAGAACTGGCGGAAACAGTTCAGAACTGTTTCCTACAGTGTACTGTAATCAGAGCCCTCTCACCTGAGCTCCGTTACACACACACACACACCACACACACACACACACACACACACCACACACACACACACACACACACAACACACACACAACACACACACACACACACACACACACACACACACACCACACACACACACACACACACACACACACACACACACACACACACACACACACACACACACACACACACACACACACACACACACCTCAACCTGTCCGCCATAAAGAGGACGGATACCTGAACCGTAGCGTCCAGCTAGCTTAGCGATAAATACACACATCGTTGTATTCGCCTCCCCCTGTCTGCCCTAAAAGCTGAGCTCCATAGCGTCCCGCTAATGTGAAACACACACACACACAGCGTTAGCGGGACATTCTCCTCCCCCTGTCGGCACTAAAAGCTTCAGAGGTTGGATAGCTGGGCTCCGTAGCGTCCAGCTATCTTAGCCGCTAGCTTAGCGATAAATACACACAGCGTTGTATTCTCCTCCCCCTGTCGGCCCTAAAAGCTTCAGATGGTGGATACCTGAGCTCTATAGCGTCCCGCTAATGTGAAATACACACAGCGTTAGCGGGACATTCTCCTCTCCCTGTCGGCCCTAAAAGCTTCAGAGGGCGGATAGCTGGGCTCCGTAGAGTCCAGCTAGCTTAGCGATAAATACACACAGCGTTGTATTCTCCTCCCCCTGTCGGCCCTAAAAGCTTCAGATGGCGGATACCTGAGCTCCATAGCGTCCCGCTAATGTGAAACACACACAGCGTTAGCGGGACATTCTCCTCTCCCTGTCGGCCCTAAAAGCTTCAGAGGGCGGATAGCTGGGCTCCGTAGAGTCCAGCTAGCTTAGTGATAAATATACACAGCGTTGTATTCTCCTCCCCCTGTCGGCCCTAAAAGCTTCAGAGGGCGGATAGCTGGGCTCCGTAGCGTCCCACTAGCTTAGCCGCTAGCTAAAGGTAAACATAGATGGGTACATAGAATATGAATAAATCGTCACCGATGTAGAGTATATATGTTTGTATTCACTTTGAATTCCACCAAATGGAGTTTAATGCTTTGGGATTTAAGTTAGGCCACATAGTACGTGCATGGGTTTGAAAGTATAACGTGCTAGCCTGCTGTAATACATCGTATAGTCAGGCACAAATGTATGAGAGATTTAACAATGGCCAATGATATTTCTTAAATAATATGTAGCCTATTCCCAGAGCATAATTCATGGGGAAACAAGGTGAGGTGTAAAATGTGTTTTAATATCATAAATGTTACGCCAGCAAACTTCTTGTACGGATTTCAGCAGTAGTGAAGACTCACTGAACGAATTAAGTACAAAGACGAATCGTTCGCGAACGTGCAAATCACCAGAAGTCGTTCGCGAACCGGTGAACGAATCAGTGAACGAATCTTTCAAGTGAACTGAATCAAAAGATTCGTGTCCCCGAAGGGAATCGGAATTCCCATCACTAGTACAACGCTACATTTCCCGCCCCGCCGCAGTCATACAGTAGGCTACGGAGAGCGACGAGAAACATTTCCTCAGGCATCGAAAAGCGGAACCGAAATTCACATTTCTAAATGATGCTGTTGGAATCGAAATGTTGGAACCGGTTCCGAACCGGAACCGGTTCCAACATTTCGATACAACTTCAAGGCGGTGCCAGGTTAAAGTCAAAGGATCACCAAACTCATTATTCACCGGACATGGAATATCCGTAGCAAATATCATGCTTATCCATCCAATAAACCATACCATTAGAGCGGCGGACTGACACCACTGAAACTGTCTCTACCTGACCAGCATTAATCCATCAGTAATATTAATCCAATCATTTAATTTATATGATCATACATGAAAGAACTAATATCATTTACTTTTATTGATCACATTTTGAATGGAGGACTTTTACTCGAAATTGGAATATGTTTACACTCTGGTGTTACTGCTTTTACTTAATCATAGGATTTAGATACTTCTTACACTTGTCCGATATGTCATCTTTTAATTTTTACCATACAAAACTCTAGCAATTTTGTTGTATTATATAATGATGTAAAATGTATGCAACAGAAAAACCCTAGCTAATTGTAATACTAATACATACCTGTGTATCCTCGAAATGAAAAGTGATATTGGAACCAGAACTAGCCTCAATCCTTGTGGATTGATTCATGTTTCAGAAAGTCTGTAATCAATCAATGTGAATCTTCTTCATCACATCAGAGATGGATGGCACTGACTGGCTGACACCTACTTCTTAATAAATGGCCCATACTGGCCTCATATATCAGCAAGCTGATCACTGGTCTAAGTGGAACTACCTCAGTGTGTGTGTGTGTGTGTGTGTGTGTGTGTGTGTGTGTGTGTGTGTGTGTGTGTGTGTGTGTGTGTGTGTGTGTGTGTGTGTTTGTGAGAGTGTGTGTGTGGTCCTCCTTATACCATGACTGATGCTCTCTGTGAATCAGTGAGACAGGTGGACAAACCTAATTTTAGACGACTTCTCCAACCTACGCCTCCCAAACTTTCTACATAGAGGTCACATTAGGGGGGGTAACCGAGTTTGTAAAAAAAGAAAAATTGAGGAATTAAGTGTGAGATAATAAGAAAGAAAATGCAGGAAGAAGAGAAAAAAATACACATAATCCTCTTGCTCAAAGTGATAAGGACATTCATTATAAAGTTCGGCAAAGGCAAAGCTCTCACTAACACATCTCATCTCTCACGCTTTCCTCCCCTCAGACCTCCAGCATGGATTGTGTGTGTCTCACTAAGCTTGTGTGTGTATGTGTGTCACCACACCTCAGACAGCATGCCATACTGCCCCCTTCTGGCCATGCCGAGGGTGAGCAGGTCATAGACGGAGGTGGCATCCTGCAGGCTGCTCTGACGGGCTTCAGCCTGGTCTGGAAGACGACTGATCACCGCGTCTCCGCTGGCCTGGACGGACAGAGAGGGAGAGTGAGGAAAAGCGGGAAGGAAGAGGAGGAGGAAGACAAATCAGGATGGGAAAGGCGGTAATATGGATGACCTCAGCAGAAAGGTCCCCTTTAAAGTGTTGAAATATTATGTTTTGAAAGCAAAAAGGCGAAGAATGAGGTAGTGTGTGTGTCTCACCATGGACTCGGTGATGAGCAGCAACAACACAGCCTCCTCCACCACGTCCTGAGGACAGAAGCAACTGCAGGACACAGGGAATAAGAAATAAACAGGAAGTCTAATCACACACACACACACACACACACACACACACACACACACACACACACACACACACACACACACACACACACACACACCACACACACACACACACACACACACACACACACACACACACACACACACACACACACACACACACACACACACACACACACACACACACACACACACACACACACACCACACACACACACACACACACACAGCCTTTCTAAAGGTAGATAGTCAGATTGCTGGGAGTGTCCAGTTTCTGTCTCACTTGTGGTGCTGTAACCCAACACGGACCACCCGGGGTGTATCGCTACACAGCACTATCTCAAATGTCACACACACACACACAGGCTAATGTATTTCTTCCATCTCTTCTCTCCCATTCCTCTCATTCATCACTTTCTCTGCTTCTCCTCCCTCTTTGGTGGGCCCGTGTCTTATTAAAGGACACATTTACCAGACACCGTCCTGGCCTTTGCAAAAGAGGCAGCTGATGACAACAGCCATGAACAATACTGGAGTGCAGCCATTCCTCAGGGTGAAGTCTTCTGTTCCCCCTCTCCTTCTAATCTCAGACATGGATTTAGATCTTCACTTATGATAGTGTGGGCAGGATTAGTCATGTGGTGGTGACTAAGTACGGCTCGCAGTGAGTGCAGGATCCCTGCAAAGAGGGGGCTGCAGGGAGCCAACATGACGCTGAGATACAGTTCAGAGTGCTGATGCAGGCTCCTGTCAGTACTGTGCCATGCATATGCCATCCATCCATATGTCAATATATGTCATGTTATGTTACAGTATACATATGTACACAGTCCCTTTATGTCATATGTTATGTTATAATGTTTTTTTTTATGTTTCTCTCATGCTTTTATGTTATGTCATTTATGCAATGTCAATTTATTTAATATTACTTGCCATCTGATTATTTTTAACGTTATTTTATTTACTTGTTTTATTGTATCTAAAGTTGTTAAATTATATCATGTTTTATTTTGTATTAATTTGTATCATTTTATCTAATTTTATTTGTATTTTATTAATTATTTTTTTCCACCATTTTCTTGTTAACTTTTTCTATATGGCATATTGAAACTGTATGAAAGATGCTAAAACAAATGAAGTTGATTGATTTATATTGACTGAATGGTGTCATGTCATGCTTTGCTGTTATATTCTATGTTATTTTATATTGTGTTCTTATGTCATGGTATGGTGTTCTCTTAAGTCATGGCATATTTTCTTGTTATGTAATTATTTTATCTTGTTATGTCATACCATGCTATGTTCCACTGTTATGTCATGTCATACTCTCTCGTCATGTTAATGTTGTTATGTTATGTTTTCCATGTCATGTTGGTAATATGATCCGTAATGAGCTCCGTGCCTTACCACAGCATCTGGCACTATATCGGACAGGGCCACCATGTTAAATTGCTTTAATAAGCATGTTGTGTCCTGTGGCTCTCTGTTTTATTCTGTCACTAACTCTGCTGCTGTGAACACCCCAATCCGTGACTCTGAACAATGTGGTCTGGAAAACCCTTTCAGTTTTACTCCTTTTACTGTCAATGTTGTTCATGAAGCATTATCTAAGCTAGATCCTAACAAACAGGCTGCCCCGGACAAGGTAGAACCTTTCTTTTTAAAGATAGCTGCAGATGTTATTGCTCCACCTCTCACTACTCTTTTTAACCTCTCCCTCAGCACAAATGCAATTCCAAAAGTATGGAAGTCATCTTATGTCTTGCCTTTGCTAAAATGAGGGGAGGCAACTATTTTAAATAACTATAGGCCAATCTCTAAATGATCAGTTCTGGCGAAGGTGCTCAAACTCCTAGAGTGAACAAGTAAAGGAGTTTTTATGTAATAATGATATCCTGTCTAAACATCAGTCAGGTTTCAGAAAGAAACATAGCACCATCACTGCGACAATGAAAGTGGTGAATGACATTATGAATATTTGAGATAATAAGCAGAGTTGTGCAGCTCTATTTATTGACCTTTCCAAAGCGTTTGATACCGTCGATCATCACATTTTAAAGCAGAGGCTACTCAGTATCGGCATATCCAGCCATGCAGAGGGGTGGTTTGTGAACTACCTCTCTGAAAAGTCCCAATGTGTTCACGTTGATGGGCTGTCTTCTGAGTGGTTGAACATTGCTAATGGTGTTCCTCAAGGTTCTGTTTTAGGTCCACTTTTATTCTCCATCTACATCAACAGTTTAGGTGAAAATGTGGATGAAGCTACTTTACATTTTTATGCGGATGATACCGTGATGTACTGTGCAGGTCCCTCATTTAAGGAGGCTGGTGTTAAATTACAGGCTGTTTTTAACATTATTCAGACTCAGCTCGCTGAGCTTAAGATTCTTTTAAATGTTGAGAAAACCAAGGTAATGCTTTTTTTAAATGGTTCAAACTCCAGAGACTGCTTTGGATATTGTTACTATGCAAGGACAAGTACTAGAAGTGGTTACCTGTTACAAATACCTAGGTATCTGGCTTGATGATTGTCTTACTTTTAAACTTCATGTCAATAACCTGCTTACAAAACTGAGGGTTAGACTAGGTTTCTTTTTCAGAAACAAGTCCTGTTTCTTGCTTGAGGCCAGGAAAAGGCTAGTCACTGTGACCTTTTTACTTGTGCTGGACTATGGTGATTTGATCTATATGAATGCACCTGCCCATTGCCTGGAAAAGTTAGATGCCGCCTATCACAGTGCTCTGAGATTTGTTACTAACTGTAAAGCACTTACTCATCACTGTACCCTGTATGCCAGGGCAGGTTTGCCTTCACTAACTGTACGGAGGCTCAGTCATTGGTACATGTTTATCTATAAAGCCATGTTGGGTAAACTACCAACTTATATATGCTCCTTGATCTCACAGAGAGTGGCAAGTAGCTATTGCCTGAGATCCCAGGATGTGTTTGTATTACATGTGCCAAGTGCTAGGACTGTTTTAGGTACTAAAGCTTTTATGTGTGCTGCTCCTCTAGCTTGGAACACTATGCAAAGTTCCCTTGCATCATTTTAAAGCTCGGATAGATGAAATGTTATTAGATATCTGTCATTGTGAATAGGTTGCTAATGTATACCCCTGTAATTATGTTGTATTGCTGTCCTTTTTGTTTTCTGTTGTTTTTATGTGTAACCAATGTGCTGCAGGTCTCCCTTGAAAAAGAGATCGTTGATCTCAATGGGATTTTCACCTGGTTAAATAAAGGCTACAAACAAATGTCATATAATGTTTTTCTAGTTTCAACATTTGTGCAACAAAGGGACTATTGTACTGAGTAACTTGGCCAAATGATGGCTGATGATTTAAAGATAATTTTCCCAGTTCACCTGAACACTGGGCAAAAGGGCTTATTGAAGAAAATCACAGGTGCATTTTTTTCTTTTTCATTCTAGTACTTGCCTTTTAAAAAACAAACCAATATAAGTATTTATTTTATGCCATATGCATATTTATATTTTCACAAGCATTAAATGCCTAGTATTTATTTTGTGCTTCTTTATATGAGTACAGTAATACATCCCACTGATGAGAGGAGGAGAGGTGTCCTGGGATTGCTCACCTTGACTGACCCAGTGTAAACAGGTACCCTCTGAGCTCTCTGGGGGAAGTATGTCCCCTCCCTGTCCCTGATGATGACTCATAGTCTTTAGAACAAAACACACTTGAATAAAGGGTGTTGGCGCCAACTGACGAGCCCCACAATTGGAGGATATTATCTTGCACAAAACTGATACAACACCTGCTGAAAGTGCAATTTCGACAAAATAATTTTGGACACAAAGGAGTAACAAAAAAAATTGTTAAGCAATTGCTCAAAGTACACTGATGGTAGGATCACAATAATAAGAGAATTAAGAGGAATAATTAAGACAAGTAGCATGAAACACAACAAAAGGTATTGACATTAGAAATAATCCAAACAGACCTGTCAGTGCTGTAGCGCTGCGGTGGTTTAACAGTGGGGTAGACGGCGTCTTTGGAGGCCGCGGCCCCCTCTCTGTGGAGCCAGGCTGAGGGTGGGGGGCCCAGCGGGGGCCAGTAGCTGTCCTCACTCACAAAGCTCAGCAGTACCTCTGCTAGCTTCCTCGCTGCAGACTAAAGGAAACCACAATGTATTAACGAGATGATGAGCAGACAGATGAGAGAATGATGCAATGATGTATAACGTCGTAGCAGTATTCTTTTTTTTCATCATATAAGATATTAATACTTTCTATGTTGCTAATGTCTAATGGATTATAAACTGACTTATAATCAGCACACAGCACTGTATAAATACAGTTTTAAGCACTCAATATACAGAATGCTTTATAACAATTATCATAACACATTATAAGGTAAAGGCAATAATACATTGTACTACAATTACTATAGTTGCTATACAATTTTATCTTTTGTATATGGAATTATAATCACTGTTATTTCGCATGAATAAGTTCCTCTGAGTGGTCATTGTTTGCTTTAAGTAGAGTAAATAAGAATTATATGCAAAAAGAGCTACATGTATTTTTGAAATTAAGCAAGTAAAGCAGAGGCCTGCTTTAAAGGAATACAAACATCACCATTGTGTGTGTGTGTATGTGTGTGTGTGTGTGTGTGTGTGTGTGTGTGTGTGTGTGTGTGTGTGTGTGTGTGTGAGTGTATCACTACTCACCTTCCTGAAGCTCTGAGACCCTCGTGACTCCACCACCCTGAGCACCCTACGCAGTTGGTGAGCACCCTGTGCGAGATGACTAACATACACACACACACACACACACACACACACACACACACACACACACACACACACACACACACACACACACACACACACACACACACACACACACACCACACACACACACACACACACACACACACACACACACACACACACAAAGAGGGCGTTTATCAGTTTAAGAAGGTGGCATATATATAACGCAGAAGAAGCTGCAACAGGATGTGTCATATTATGGCTAGAGGCAAAACTATTAATATCATACTATAATAAATAATAAGAGGCTTATATTCTAACAGAAATCTGCTTAACATATTGAGCGTCACAGCTTGTCATAAAAAACAGTTGAAAGAAGTTTATAAATATATACGTTTTCTAGATGTACTTTTCTTGTGTAAAACTTTTCAGTAATAATGTAACTCGAACATGCATGCCAATACAACTGTTTTGGATTTGGATTTCTATGATTGTGGTAATACACTCAGATGCAAGTGTCTATTAAAGGTTTTTCAGTATTTTATCCATCGTATACATATTTCTATTTTAAAACCTCTCTATGTCCGTTTGATCAAAAACAGAACATTATAACCTCCATGATTGGATGATTTTCTATTATTTTGAGCTAGGTGTATCTAATACACTAAAAACAGAATATCCAACACATGGTGCATTTGTTTTCTGAGTCCAAGAGCACAATGACACCTGCTGGTCACAAATAAAAATGCATCTCTGCTTCACTGAGGTCAAGTGGTCAAGTGGTACACTTATTAAAAGCTTTTCCTTTATTTCTTCTCCGCCTCAGTTTCTACAACAGACAAAAAAGCCCAAGGTTCCCTCCGTTACAATCAATCCTGAAGGAAAGGACTCAAGTCATCAATCATTGTGTATGACTAGTCATGTAATGTAGAGTAAACATAGGTACATAAATTAGACTTCCAGTTGGTTGTTATATAAGGCTCACTACAAACTATACAACCAAAATCTTTGAAAATATACATGTTCTTGGCTTTTTTTGTAATGTTACCCAGACTTAAGAAGCAGTTATATTTTATAAACTTTTCACCTGATGATTTAGTGAGCCTCATGGGTATTGCATCTCATGGCTGAAAAGCAGTGGCGGCGCCAGAGATTTCCTCTAGGGGGTGCTGTGGGGTAGCTTGACGTTTCATAGGGGGTGCTCAAACATTTAGGGTTTCCCATTAATGCACCGGCGCTACAGTTGAATTTTCTACTGCAACACTCCCCACACGCGCACACACACAGTACACCCGCAACTGTTACAATGAAGGCGTGAAGATTTTATTTTAAATATTGAAATTAAATGCATCAATTGGTGCACTTTGAGAGCAACATTAAGCGGTCTCTGCGTTGTGTTTTGTGTTGTTCATGGATGGATGAGACCCGAGCCAGCATACAGTTTAGACGATTTTCTTTTAATCGCTGACAACAGATATAACAAATCAGTATTACATTTTGTATCCCTCACAGTGACTCCTCTCACGTGGAAACATTTACAAAAACAAAAAGGGAAGAGGAAACGTGAGGAACAATATAAAGGGTGGTGGGTGTACACACAAAAATAATCTTCTGAGTATAGTGACTACATTTCAGAAGTTCCGCCCACTGATCTCCGACCTTGTCAGGTATTGAACATAAATAAACGAAGAACACAGAACTAGTGTGATTATACTAATTTAAATGATGTACAAACAAACACCACTGCATATTTACAACTGTTACAGCGGGTAAGGTCCACAAGCCTAACACACTGGCTCTGAACATAGAATTTAACACAAGTAGGCCACATAGAAATAACTATAAATAGTCAGAATGTTTGCCTCAACCATCAATGCATTACATTTATAATAGGCAACAGAGGGGGTGCATCATCATGCACTTACCATTAGACATCTTCATAACAAAACAATGCGTCTGTTGTTGTGGCTGAGGGCAAATGCATCAATGATTTTGTCGCTGTCCAGGGCCCTTGTTCTCACAGTGTTTATGGCCAACAGTGCCAGGTTACTGGTTCGAGAGTCCCCACTGGTGTTCCTCAGGTAGTTTTTCAAACGACGCAGACAAGAAAAACTGTGCTCACAGCTCACTGAGGTCACGGGAAGTGTCAGAGATATGCATATCAGTTTGTACAAGTCTATACATGCATCTCTGTATGGCCTCATGAGGGATAGAAACTCCTTGGTGCTGGTGATAGTATGTCCCTGTTCTTCTTTTCTTTGCAACAGCCGGCGAACTTGGTAAAGCTCTGCAGACAGGTTTTCCTCACTGATTCCATAGTGGCGGACCATGGGCAGTATCATTTTTTTGTGCAGAAATGATGTGTGTTTGGGGCTCAGGGCGGACACACCTCTCAGTACTTCATTGGTTTCTGTTGAAAAGCGACGTTTCATCTCCATTAACAACCTGTCTATAACAGGATAGAACGAGTGTGTTCTCAGGTCATCTGTTTCTAAGCGTGCTCTTTCTAACGGGGCTTCCACTACAAACCCCTCCAGATGTCGAGATGTTTGGGCCCGCCTTCTCTCACGTTGCGTCTGTGGTGCAATTCCTGCCTTCACGCACAGACTTTCTGCTTCATTTCTGATTTCCCTCCACTTGTCCTCGGTCCGCTTTTCAGATATGGCATTGGTAACAGACTGGGCCAGATCATCTGCTGCTTCAAGATCAAAAGTGGCGGACTGAAGCTGATCCGACATGAACTTGGTTGTTCTGAATACATCTTCGAAAATAATGAGATGTACAACAAATGTCTCGTCCATGATTGCACTGAGAGCTCTCGCCTCTGTCCTCCGGTGTGGATTTGACAGGCCGATGATGTCACGCAGGGTAGCCAGTATTGCTGGGAGAGTTTTCTTGACTGCCCAGATTGCAGTATATTGGCATGCCCAGCGAGTATCACTCAGCTTCTTGAGTTCTACGCAATGTGCTGTTGGCTCGAGTTCCTTTTGTTTTTTCATGAACAGATCGTGCACCACTGACCCAGAGAAAAACTTGTAGAGCATTTGTAGTGTCTCAAAAAACTCTGCTGCAGCGTTGACATTATGCACACAGTCCACCAGCACCAAGTTGAGCCTATGAGCATGGCAATGTATATAAATTGCCTGTGGCACTTCTTTCCTGAACTTTTCCTGCACTCCATTGTTACATCCTGACATTACAGATGCTCCGTCATAGCACTGGCCAACACAACCATTAATGTCTATATAACACTGACTGAGTGTAAGCTTTATGCTGTTTAGTAGTGAGTCTGCGTCTAACCCATCTGCTGGGGTGAAATGCAAGAATTCCTCATGCAACGTCTCTGTCAGTGGCTGTAAATACCGCACGATCACTGAAATCTGTTCCTTCTTACTAATGTCTTTACTTTCATCCACCAACACAGCAAAGTACTCTGCCTCCCCCACCTCATCACTTATTTCTTTTCGTATCATATCAGCCATTATATTAAATAATTCGTTCTGTATGTCATGGTGAGTGTATTTGGCATTTGATGGATTGCTTGCCAATTTTTTATCCACTGTAACATCAAACATTTTGATGAGGTGCAAAAGCTCGATAAAATTACCCCTATTAGAGGAGTCCCCACCCTCGCTGTGACCTCGCTGTGTGATTCCCTGACAAGCGGTATAGGGAAGGCTTTCAACCACGGCCTGCATGTACTTTCGGTTCTCCATAACCAAAGCTGAATGTCCCTTGTCAATAATGTTTGCTATTTTTGAGCCACTTGTCTGTTTTTGTTTAACCTCACTCCATGTTTCCATAGCAAACTTGTGCGCCGCACTTTCATGAGTGTTCAGAGTCGCTGATGCTTTTCGCCAGTTGTTGAACCCATTGCAGATGAATGCTGGTTGCACTCCGTGCACTCGTTTTGAAAAGTGCCGACAAGCAAAGCAAAACGCTGCGTCTTTGGACACGCTGTATTCTAACCATACATGTTGATCCATCCAGCCTTTATAGAAACATCTCTGCTGATTTCCAAATGGCCGTGTGGGGTATTTTTGAAGAATTGGCCGTCTTGGGCCCTCTTGAGGATTGTTACTTATGTCCTCCTCCTCCTCCTCCTCCTCCGCAGCAGCCGCAGGTGCAGCCGCGGGGCCGGGCATTTCAGCTCCTTCCTCCTCATCTCCATCCTCCCACGGCTTTTCTTGGTCCTCCTCCTGGTCGGTGAGCGTGACACCTTCAGCCTCTGCCTCACGATGCCTATTATGTGCAGATTCAGAATCCCTCTCGCTTACACGTGGACGTTTTAGGACTAAAAAACGATCAATTTTTCACTTTGCTCAACATCCACGTTAGCTAATAATTTGGCGCTCTAGCTAACAGGAAGTCACTGAAGTGTCACAAAGTAATTTAGCCTATGGGTAGGTCAAAAATCTAATGGGTGCTGGCCATTGGCCTAATCATATCACCTGTGTTGGCTTTATGTTTTTGGTAAAAAAATGAGTTTGTTTCACATTTGCATTGATGTAATCAATAATTTGTCTAATTTAATTTAATAAAAATAATAATAATAATTTTATATAAAAAAAAATAAAAACATATTTATTGGGGGTGCTTTGGCAATCCTGGGGGGTGCTTCAGCACCCCCCAGCTCCCCCCTGGCGCCGCCCCCGCTGAAAAGTACTTTTAGAGTTATCTGCCTTCTTTTGAATGTCATAAAACGACATGGCCGTGGTCTTATGGTCCCAGGAGTTCAAAACTTTTAATCTCAATCAGATCCGATCAGATTTTGAAATCTCATTTTTTGTGATCCAGGATCAGACAAGTCGGCCAGATTTTGTCCCAGTATTTCAAAGCAATTCAGGATAGGATCAGCCTGATCCAGATTACGACTTTTCAAGATTACTAGATCCTGAATATCAGTGCTTTAATCCTACCGATCGCCATCTAGTGGATATGAAAAATAATACAAGAAAGACAAGAGACCACATTGCAGAGACATCTATAATGTCTATTTATATTTTAAATTTGAAAGGTGATGACAGATGATGGACTTTTTTTTTGTTGAAGATATTTTTTCTTTAATCTAAATTACATTTGTGCTTGACAATCTTTGTTGTGATACTTTTATGAGCATAAACATTTATGTCATCAACATTTGGTTGAAAACAAAATAGGCCAAACGTGAGCAACAAATGAAAAATAAAATGTATTTCCCATGAAGGCTAAAAATTGTGTATTATTTCAGTTAACAAAGTTTGCCATCTTATTTAAATTGAAACATATTTTAAAATAAATTGTACAGTACATTTTGCTCTGGTAATCCACTGGAAATCCACCCCTCTGGTGGGATCAGGATAATCCAGTTTTTTGGGATCAAACTGATCCCAATCCTGTGTTGTCGGTTTGAACTACCCGTTTTGAAGATTTGATCCAGATTAAAGCTTGGATTGGATTCCCTGATCTGATCGGATATCAAAGTGATCCTAATCCTGTTTTTTGGTTTTGAACTCCCCAAAATCCAAATCTGATCTGATCAGATAGGGATTCAAAGTTTTGAACTCCTGGAGTGGAGTGCACCAGCTGGGCGTAAACTGGGCTTAACTCTATGTCCGACGTAGAACCGAAGGTTAAGACCAAACTAAAGTTATGACTAGTGCACCACTTAGACTTAAGCCCTGTACGCGTTGCGCCCGGGTGTAACTTTTACGCCTAGTATGGAGCAGGCGTAAATCGGAAAGACAGACTAGTATCCATAGTAACGTAAAACAGGCAAGAAGGATATTAACGATGGCAGGGCGTCTTGTTTACATGTTTAACAATGAAAGGGCATTAAGAAGAGTCTTAATTTCTCCTTCTCCAGCTGAATTTGTTCGTGTTCCGCTCTCAATTTGACGGTCTCCACCTCCACACGAACGATTTCTTTCTCCGTCAGTTCCCGCTGTAGCTCTGACAAATCCCTCTTTCTCTTTCGGGGTGTGGCCATTTGGAATTCCCCTTGAGTCATCGCTGACGCTGTGGGTGTGGGAATTCCCTCTTCTCTGCGGTCCTCTGAGTCTGTAAAATGGTAAAATGGCGTTGCTTGGCAACAATTACTGTTTCGCGTGTATTCACGTGGACGCGCATCTTAAGACCAGGCGCAGCTACGCCCGAGACTAGTCAGGCTTGGGTTGCATTCCAATAGTCCATTTAGCTTAGGAACCTTCCTAACGGAGTGAAATTACCCGGAAGTCCCTCACTGGCAGCCATGATAAGTGCCGTTCCAATTCTCCAAATGAAAGCAAAGGAGGTTTCAAACTTCCTTTATAACCTCATTTAGCTTAGGAACCACTGGACCTCCCTAACCGAAAGGAGAGGAGAAAATGCTGCCCCACAATGCATTGCAGCCGCAGCATTTGCCGTCACTCAACAGTCGGCCGTTCACGGAAACAACCGATTATGACCGATATATGATATCATGAAAGTTACGGTGCTTATTAAGCATTTTAAAACGTATGTGGTAAGTTGCCAAAGTGCTTTTTTCTGAACGTTCATCAGTATTATAATCAAAAAGAGAAATATGAACGTTAGTTTTTACTGAAATGATCAAATAAAGTCAACATTTCACAGTCTTTACTGAGCTGTGTGGGGTTTGTTCAACTTTTAAAAGATGTTTGAATGGTGATATACACAGTGATAGATGTTAAGGACTAATGTTTATAATAAATACATTTGTATTGATTTTAAGATATTTTCATAGTTCATACAATCATACGTATTGGGATCATTTGTATTAATGTGGACCGGAGGGAGAGGGTGACGAGCATAAGTTTCACTTTCATTTTTTATTTCAATTCCAACTTTGGTCATGAAGAATATGTTTCTCTGTTGTCCACGTTCATAAAGCATAAAGCAACAGCATCAGAGCACGGTGCAGTCTCTAGATGAGTTTACAGTAGTCCCTCGTTCTTATTAAACATCCATGTTGTAGTCCGCTGTATAGAAAACTGTAGTTTCCATAGTTTCCCCACAGCAGCAGACGCACATTCATGACGTTCGCTGGCGCATCATAAACACGTTGGATAGTGAAAGTGCATTCGGATTCTCTAAAGTACCGCGGTCTCTTCTCCTAAGTCCTTTTGAATTCTCCTATCCACTATCCCTTAACCCCGTGACGTTTCACTCAGAGGTCAAGGAATAGGAGATAGGGTTAGAATTTAGGAGCTGATTTTTGGATTATCGGAACGCAACCACGGTGCACTCGGTGTAAATTCGAATCACTACGTCGGACGTAGCTAAGCCCGACGTTAGAGTTAAGCCCTACTTTTTTACGCCCAGCTGGTGCACTCCACTCCTGGGCCCTGGTGCTTAAAGTGGCAAAGACATAACCCGTTAGAAAATATAAAAAAAAACTCAAAATAAATGTATCTTTCAAGAAATCCTGACCTGACAAGTCAAATGAATCCACAGACATTGTTATTAGCAGTTTCAAGTAGGAACTATTTTCTAGCCCACATCACCCCGGAACAGGAAGCCGAGGCTCCGTCTCACTTGTTGGAGGGTGAAGTTGAAGAAAAATACAATATAATCTATAAGAAAAATGTAGGTCCATTATACTGGAGAGAAGGCAGACATCTCTAAGGCTGACATTTCCAATACTTGGCAACTTTTACCAAAACAATCTAGAATGATAAAGACCAATATAGTTTAAAATAAATATGTGTATCTTTGGGACAGGTCTGCCTTCTGTCCCCAGAGTCAAACCTAAACATGGAGAAGCAGTGTTAGTTCTTATGCTCCATTTATCTGGAAAACTTCAGGTCCGCTGCGACTCTCACTTCTTTTAAATCCAGGCTGAAGACTTTCTTATTTTAAATGAAAGAACAATTAATATGTTAGACTGCATGTAATTTGTATTCTTCTAACAAGGAAAAGGCTGGAATCATGAAATGTTGGCCTAGTGTTGTTAGACTCACCCCCTCTGCAGCAGACAGAGGTACGCGCTCTGTAAGGACGCCTGCAGGAAGTAGCCCAGGTCCATTTCCACAGGTTGAGGGAGCGTACTGGATTTGGCTGTCTTACTGTGAGGCGTTGATATTGTCTGAAAATATCATAAACATTTCATTATTTCACCATATATATATATATTAGGTAAGTTAAAAAAAAATGTAAAGGTCCCATGTCATGCTTTTCCGGTTATTACCCATCCCCTTGTGTGATATGAAGGTTTTTCTGCATGTAAACGGTCTGCAAAGTCACAAACCCTCAAAGTACACCCTGTAGCGAGTAAAACTCTAACACAGAAAATACCTGTCTATGCTGCCCCAGAACGCCTCGTTGGGGATTTATCTTTTTCCATTGTTTTCTTCCTGGGTACAGTGACGTGCCCATACCCAAATGGACCAATCCGTGGAGCAGTTACGTTACGTCCGCTACGTTACTTCCTCACACACACACACTCAATCTTTTCTCAGCTGCAGCCGATTTCTCCTCCCTGAGACGGCGGGACGCGGCAAGGCTATTAGTCTGTGTGTGAGCACACACACAAACTCCCAGTCAGGCTGCGGGTGTGTATGTGTGCTCGGGCTGGTTTCGGACTGGATTCGGGCTGGGTTTTGCTGTGTCTCGCTGTCTCGCAGTCGGCCACTGGGCTCATAGGGAGGGGGGGGGGGGGGGGGGGGGGGGGGGGGTAGGAGTTCCAACAAGCCGTTTAGGACAGAGAGTGAATAAACATACTATACAGAGGTGCTGTATGAGAAACCAATGTGAGTTTGGAAAATTGCACAATGTAAATCTATTTTAGTAGACCTCAACAATGGAATTATGATCAGTAGAAATGGCCATGACATGGGACCTTTAATACCAAGTACAAGCACTGCTTAAATGGTTAAGTATTTAGGTACTATAAGAGAAAAAAATCAGAGGATGAAGATTTATTTTAGATTTTGCATTTAAAGAATAACATTTGAATGGCCAAAATAAAGCTGACAAATGATAGGATTATATTTAAAATAAAATAATGAAGCTAAAATGTAGTAAAATAAAGTCAAAATAAAGTTGAAAGTTGAAAAAGTTCAAGAATAAAGACCTACTTTTAATATACGAGCTAATGCTAGTACATATAGATGAATATATTCTCAATATTTAAATTCTTGATATTTTTAGCATTTTGTCGTTATCCTCAATGTACAACATTTATTTATTATTTCTCCCTCCATAATTTTTTGGTATGTACAAAACTTGAAGTCTGACTCCATTCTTCAAAATTTCATTTTATTATCTAAATGCTAAATAAAAACAGATCTTCCGCCTTAAGCTTTCCCCTGATACTCCTCCATAAAGGGACTGCATAACCCCACACACACATGAAAGCACACTGCACACGTCTAAAGATCCACCTTATCGAGCTCCTGCAGGTAAGACAGAGCAGCGTCACACGCCCTCAGGTAACAGCACAGACTCTCCTCCTCCCTTTCTGACAGGCGGACACGAGACACTGCGGAGACCGTCTGATGGTCCAGAGACAGACCTGAGACACAACGGGACATCACACCATCAGACCTGCACTTACCATTCAACAACAAACTGCTTCAAAAGAAGGGTTTTACTTATCCTGCTGGCTACGTTAGCGGGTTATACTGCAGTGAACACACAAGATACAGTAAATCATGTGTACAATATACTTTGTCCCACAAAAACTACAATTGTCACTTCATAATTAGTAGGACATTTAAATGTGTGTCTTGTTGTGTGATTAAAAGTAAAAGGATTAATCAGGTGCCTTTTCTGAAAATATCCAAATTAATAATACGAACGACTGTCAGATTTTGAAAATAAAATGTACTCCAGATAAATATTACACATCATTGATCAATTGTAGGCTACTCAACGGTAAACCTGATTATAATTATCAATATTTGGTAAGATAGAACACATTTTTCAAAATTCTTTAAAGCATGTATTACAGATAAATTAGAAAATACTGACACATTTTCAGTCCTTAAAGGTTAGGGTAGGTAAGAATGGAGAACCAGCTTGAGTGCGCTAGAATTTGAAAGTACACAACCGGAAAAAATCTGCCCCTTCCTTCCTTGGCGCGTTTCCACTGCAGCGGGTAGCTCGCTTTAAGCGTGCCGAGCCGTGCGGGGCCCGTTTTTGGTTGCGTTTCCACTTGGCCTAGTTTTGGCCCAGGGCTACTTTTTCACCTTTTTTCTGGCCCGACTAAATCGTGGTTCTAGGGCCAAGAACAACCAGGCTGAGTCGGGCTGAGTATGCTAAACTAGAGAGAGAATAGCTGGCAAGGGGGCTACAACTACAACAAGATGAACATATTTGACCGTGATTTAATTGTAATACACGTTTCAAAATGATGCCGAAGTAACAACATACTGATATCGGTTAGTAAAAACCATGAATTAATGCTTTGACAAGTCTGCAGGCGAAAAACCCTTTTAAAATGCGTGCTTTCTAAATGGAGCTTGGCTAAGCAAACGTTCTATTTCGTCCCTATACTGACCGCCAGAGGTGGTGCTTTAAGCACTGGATATGTCCATCGCGCGCATGCGCAGCTCGAGTACCAATAACAACAAAGTCACCTGTGACCCAAGTGACACCGGCTATATCAGCCGGTGTCGTCAGAGGATCTGTTCCTTTCATCTTCTCGCTGCGCGAGGGTACCGTGGCTACATTTTTGTAGCCTACAGCGTTCAGGTTTGAACGTTTGATCTGAGGGATTTCTCTGCAAGCAGCTGGCCGCGTGCAGCTTCGTGACTGACAGTCGGAGCTACGGGTCGTTAACGTGTCCTCCAGGAGCTGTGGCCGGCAGTGCGCTGTGCAGAGCCTCGACAGACAGGTTGGTGTCAGCTTGTTGCTGGTGATGGCTGTGTCCCCGCACCCTCTCCCAGCCAAGTTGTCCTGATTGCTGTCTTATTTTTTGTTTGGCTTAGACTTTCTGGTGACGACAGTGTTCCCGCTTCCTCTCCCATAAAGTTGCCCTTATGCTCTTTTGAAAGTTCTGCTTGTGGCGTTGTGCCCGAGCTATCATTAGCATTTGAGTCCCAGCTTTGGCTGCATCCCTCATTCAATTTAGTATGGAAAGCCCAGAGTGTCATATTTTAAACCCGTTTTTCGTTTAGATGCAGAGAGTAAGGTAAGTACTTTCTATTTCTTAGAAGCTATTATCTGGTCTTAACATTTGTGTTCTGACTTGGTCGCTTGATTGTTAGCAGCAGCCGCTTGGCTAACACCTTGCTGTTAAGCTTAACTATTAACTCAGCCGGTGAGGGCAGTGCTCCCGCTCCCGGTAACATAGGGTTTGATTGCAGTAGCGCTAGATCGTTGTATTACTGCTCCTAGTACTAGACTCCTAGCACTAGGATGATATGCAGAGAACATCTTCACTGCGGGTGCTGTGTCCTCCGCATGTGTGGTTACTACTGTAACCATGGCCTACGGTTCTATGCGGGCTGTTCTCTTTCTTAGAAGCTAATTATCTGGTCTTAACATTGTGTTCTGACTTGGTTGCTTGATTGTTAGCAGCAGCCGCTTGGCTAACACCTTGCATGTACTGTTAAGCTTCATTATTTAACTCAGCCGGTGAGGGCAGTGCTCTCGCTCCCGCTCCCGGTAAACGCATGGTATGGTTGCAGTAGCGCTATATCGTTGTATTTACTGCTCCTAGTACTAGACTCCTAGTACTAGACTCCTAGCATTAGGACGATATGCAGAGAACAATCTTCACTGTATGCTGTGTGCTCTGCATGTGTGGCTATTAAGGAGGATTTCATCCTCCCAATATTATATTATCTAGTGGGCAGCCGTTTGGCTGACACTTTTAGGCACCGGCCACAGTTACTACTGTAACTAAGGTTCTAAGCCGTAAGTACTGGCCATAATTACTACTGTAACTACGGTTCCAAGCCATGTAAGTACTGGCCATAGTCAATACCGTAACTACGGCTCTATGCTGTGTAAGTACTAGCCATAGTTACTACTGTAACTACGGTTCCAAGCCATGTAAGTACTGGCCATAGTTACTACTGTAACTACGGTTCTAAGCCGTGCAAGTACTGGCCAGAGTTACTACTGTAACTACGGCTCTATGCTGTGTAAGTTCTGGCCATAGTTACGACTGTAACTACGGTTCTAAGCCGTGTAAGTACTGGCCATAGTTACTACTGTAACTACGGTTATATGCCGTGTGAGCACTGGCCATGGTTACTGCTGTAACTACGGCTCTGTGCTGTTCTCTTCTTTCGAAGCTAGTTATCTGGTCTTAAACATGTGTGTTATTTGACTTGATCTTGCTTGATCGTTAGCAGCAGCTGCTCGGCTAACGTCTTGCGTGTACTGTTAAGCTTCTTTATTTTACCCAGCTAGGTGAAGGCAGTGCTCTCGCTCCCGCTCCCTCTACCGGTAATGCGGATGTAGCTACATCCCTTTTTCTGTTCGGTGAGTAGTAGCTCTACTCTTCCCGTTCAGCAGGTAGCTGGTGAAGGCTGTGTTCCCGCACCCGCTCCCGGTTACGCTGCATCTGGCATTCGTCTCTAACTCAACCAGTGAAGGCAGTGTTCTCGCCCCCGCTCCTGGTAGATGCTGACTGCCTCGCTTTTCCGTTAAGCAGGTAGCCGGGTGAAGGCTGTGTTCCCGCACCCGCTCCCGGTTACGCTGCATCTGGCATTCGTCTCTAACTCAACCAGTGAAGGCAGTGTTCTCGCCCCCGCTCCTGGTAGACGCTGGAACTGCCTCGTTTTCCGTTAAGCAGGTAGCTGGTGAAGGCTGTGTTTCCCCTCCCGGTTACGCTGCATCTGGCATTCGTCTCTAACTCGACCAGTGAAGGCAGTGTTCTCGCCCCCGCTCCTGGTAGATGCTGAACTGCCTCGTTTTTCCGTTTAGCAGGTAGCTGGTGAAGGCTGTGTTCCCGCACCCGCTCCCCGGTTACGCTGCATCTGGCATTCGTCTCTAACTCAACCAGTGAAGGCAGTTCTCGCCCCAGCTCCTGGTAGACGCCAAACTGCCTCGTTTTTTCCGTTAAGCAGGTAGTCGGTGAAGGCTGTGTTCCCGCACCCGCTCCCGGTTACGCTGCGTCTGGCAGTCGTCTCTAACTCAACCAGTGAAGGCAGTTCTCGCCCCCCGCTCCTGGTAGACGCCAAACTGCCTCCTTTTTCCGTTAAGCAGGTAGCCGGTGAAGGCTGTGTTCCCGCACCCGCTTCCGGCTACGCTGCATCTGGCATTCGTCTCTAACTCAACCAGTGAAGGCAGTGTTCTCGCCCCCACTCCTGGTAGGCGCTGAACTGCCTTGTCTTTCTGTTAAGCAGGTAGCTGGTGAAGGCTGTGTTCCCGCACCCGCTCCCGGTTACGCTGCATCTGGCATTCGTCTCTAACTCAACCAGTGAAGGTAGTGTTCTCGCCCCCGCTCCTGGTAGACGCGGAACTGCCCTGTTTTTCAGTTAAGCAGGTAGCTGGTGAAGGTTATGTTCCCGCACCCGCTCTCGGTTATGCTGCATCTGGCATTCGTCTCTAACTCAGCCGGCAGTGTTCTCGCCCCCGCTCCTGGTAGACGCTGAACTGCCGTGTTCCAGCCAGGTGAAGGCAGTGCTTTCGCTCCCGCTCCCTCTGCCGGTAACGTGGGTGTAATTACATCCCTCTTTCTGTTCGGTGAGTAGCAGCAACGCTCTACTCTTTCCATTAAGCAGGTAGCTGGTGAAGGCTGTGTTCCCGCACCCGCTCCCGGCTACGCTGCATCTGGCTACCTACAGAATGGCTCATTCATGTAGCGCCTGTATGGCTTCTTTTGAGCCCGAGGACGGCCACGACCGATGCCCCTCCTGCCTCGGCCGCCTCTGGCATCTGAGGGAGGTTCTCACGGTAAATGCCTGCATGAGCTGTAGCTGCATGCCTCGGGCGCTCAGAGTGGCTAGAATCACTGAGGTGGAACGTCTGGCAGCAGCCAACAGACACCTCTCCTTGTCACATCCTCCTCCAGATCAATTCGGCCGTTCCCGGCGACTTGAGGGAGCGATGGCTATGTGTGCTCCCCCCAATAGAAGGACTAGAAACAGGCTGTCCTCTAAAGTGGATCGGCTAGCTGCCGATAGGGGCATGAGGAAGTCGCCTCTTGGCCCTTCAGCCTGGGCCCGGTGTAGGTTGGCGCACCTCCTTCGGTTGGCGCACCTCCTTCGGCTGACGCACCTCCTTCGGTTGATGCACCTCTGTATGAGGAGGCCTTGTCCCTGGTACAGACTCGTCGCCAGGTTTCGCTGGCCCAGTCACCACTAACGGAGGCATGTAGGAGAGTCCTCCGTAGCGTACCAGTCGAGCCAGGGGAGGTCAGCTGCCCTGGAGGCACTGGAGCGTGCCGTCCAAGCTAGGCAGACCAGGCAGCAGCTCTCGGGTCTTCGCAGACCTGTGCCCACTCCCAGCAGGCCCAGGGGCCGCTCTAGCAGCCGCACTCAGCCGCCGGATTACAGGGGTGGTCTGCAGAGGTCTTAGCGGCGCGACCCAATGACTTTCGTGCCCCAGGTCGCCCGC